CTTTAGTGAAACGTTTCGTCTCTCCTCCAAGAGACTTCTTCAGTCTGAGGAGTTTCAGGTGAACTCAGCCTTATAAGCACTGCCTCCACCTGGACAAACAGGATGGTCACATACAAAAGAGGACCATCAGCCAAACAATAGGTCATTAGTGCCTTGATTAGCTCTAGTGTTCATAGAGGGTCATGGGTACCATCACCTGACTATTGTTGGGGCCCTGATTCACACCTTTTGCTGTGTAAAAGCTGGGTTTGTGGTAGAAAAACAGTCCATCATTAAACAGAGGTGGAGGCCTTCGTGTCCAGTTGTCCTCCTCCTACAACGCTGTTATTGCAAGTATGACTCAGCCCCTGTGAGCAAAAAGGTACAAATCAGGGCCCCAACGATAGTAAGGTGATGGGGTACATGACCCTCTGTCATGAATAGAGCTAATCAAGCCTATTGTTTGGCTGATGGTCCTCTTTTGTATGTGACCATCCTGTTTGTCCAGGTGGAGGCAGTGCTTATAAGGCTGAGTTCACCTGAAACTCCTCAGACTGAAGAAGTCTCTTGGAGGAGAGACGAAACGTTTCACTAAAGAAGAACCCATCCAGAGGACCTATTTATTTTGCTTTTTGATTTTTCTACATGGATTATTGAGATGCATCAGGACACTTGCCCCTTTTCCACTAGTGCCACTTAGTGTAGTGTCGGTATGGTCAGTGTCGGAACGGGTCAGTTCGGGTGTTTTTCCATTGACGTTCCAGTCCAGTTCCAGTGGGGTGTGTTTTGGGTGGTTGGTGGAGGTGGTATGTTTTTTTTTAAAGTTAATGTGCAAAATGAGAGATGGAAACACATTTGATGGATAACTTTTGAAATTTTAAAAATTCGCTAAAAATTTGAATTAAAGATGGATGGAAATACGACTAATGTCACTGCTACAATTGAAAAAATGGCACCTCAAGTTGTTYGTGTAAAGGCAGCTTAGACGCAACCAGTAACTCCACCCACTAGCCAATCAATGACGAACAGTGTTCTGACGTCACATTTTGGTGTCAACTGGGGATACTTGGAACCACAATGAAGTAAAAAAGGGCTGGTTCTATGAATTTGGCCTAATGGAAATGGCTTGGAACCGTACCGAACCGTACCGATACTACACTGAGTGGCACTAGTGTGAAATTAACTTGTTTTAAAACATTTCACAAGAGGCAGGTTTTGTTGCTCAGGTCCCTTTTACACAGGATGACCCCACTGTGCTCTCCATKACCTAGAACATGGCTGATTTGTAACAAAAAAAATAAAACTCTGTGAAGCAGATTCGTGACTATGGGTGGGTCTAAACTGGCCCTCTTGGTCAAATAGTTTACATTTCATTATTTTATTATTTAATTAAAGACAATAATAAAAAGAGTTCTAGACTATAAATATATGGCC